CGCCTGGACCCATGGAATTCTTGCCCTATCCATATCTCATCTATCATATCATATATACCTCCTGATTCCTAGCTTCTATCCTCAGACCAACCCCTGACCCCCCCGTAGGCGAAGGGGATATTTCCTATCCCTAGATCTAAATATATACTATCATAAGTGTCTGAGGTTAACACCGATGATATCGCTAGATTCAGGAGCCGGATTCGCACTTTCCGCGCCCAATACTTGGCCATCTATAAAGTATTCGGACGACTTGGCATCATTAGCACGTGTCTGGGTGCCAAGCGTCCGAATACTTTATAAATAGCCAAGTACCATGCTTTAGGCCCAAAGTATTCTTCAGAATAACAGTCTTCAATTATTCCACATACCTTGGTATTGAAATCCACTAATGATAGTTCCACCTGCAAGGCCTCCTTTACTCGCATCGCTTCAAGACCGTTTGGACCACCACAGTCTCAGCAGTGTATATACTGATGGGGGTTTAGATAGACTGGGATCAGATAAAGTCTAACATCGCGCACATCAAGGGTATCAGGATACAGTATACTCGAGACGCGATATTACCGGGGTGTATGCTCCCACATTTTTGCGCGCTTGTGGAGGTCAGGAGGTCAACTGGTTCGGGTAGCGCGGAACCGGAACCGTTACCATTCTTTCATTAATATTAAGCTATGCAACCGTATAACTAAAGTTCTTCCAATTCGTTACTCGTATTACTCAACTCGACCCTTCCTATCCCATCCCTTCGGCCTTTGTTCTCGCCTCGCCCCTGGCTAGCCGAATCAAAACTACGGGATGCGGGACCAACGGCCCGATGCAACGGATATGCATGCACTCGAGTATCAAGCCGGCTGCCGGTGACCTACCGTACTAGTACTCCCTCCCGGTTGGTTGAAAACCTGGGCATCCGAGGACGATGCAACCAAAAACAGCCAAAAAAGCAACCCTGACAACAAGCAGATCCATTACTTCTCAGAAAGCTTTTGAAATTTGTGAAAAAGGAAAAAAAAAAAAAAAAAAGGCTCTCGAGTAAGCAAGACACCGAAGACTAATCTGTAGCCTCAGAAGGGAAACTCAGCCCCGTGGCTGAAAAGGGGTTATGCAGGTCTTTTCGGGTAGAAAGGCCTTGGTGTGCGGAATTCCTTTTTCCGTACAAGCCCAACGGGTCAACACGCAACTTGGCACTGGAAAAACCACTTTTTTTTTTTTTCAACACCGGGGCTGAATACCGGTAGCTCCAATATATAGGAGAAAATGGGAGGCGAAATGTAATTGCATGATAGGTAAGGGGGCCACTAGATATTATGCGATAAGTTACGAGTCGGCTTAGATACGAAGGGGTGGATGGACTCCCTGAGGGAAACATGGTTTGCACATAACTTACCGTATGCAGAATCGTGCTATGGAAGGCAGCACAATATGGTATTCATGGCCGAGTATGGAAGTTTTATCGTACAAGTCACGTGCACTGTGGTGCCTTGATGTGGCAATTTCTGTTGTCCACACGTAATTCTTCCATGATATAACAAAAGTAAACTTGGTTGGACTTCAGATGCTGTGGTTGCTGCTGGGGGCTTGGCTGCATATGAAAAAGTGTTTCGACTTGTACGGGTACTGTGATAGCAAATCATGCTGCCAGCTGCCGCAACCATCCGTAAGTACGAGTATCAGCGTTTGCTTAGGGGGCCACCAACTACCGTGACCTTAAATAGTGCAAAGACGATAATTTGATCGCGTATTCTCTAGCCCTCTAGCCATCTTCCCCTCCCCCCCCCCCAATTTTTTTCTCTCGTTCCAACCCAGCGCTATAATAGCGCGAAACACCAACCAATCGGCGCCGCAAAGAAGCTGCACCCAGCCCATAAGTAAAGCAAATCGCCAACATTGGCTCTAAAAAAATACCCTTTCCGGAGGGCAGCAGTACCGTAACTTATCCAATCATGATTGGCGGAGAATATGATAGGAACCGGGCCCCAAAGAATCAGTTAAGGAATCGCTCATGTACCCCAGATTTTCCGGGTTCCGAGAGAGCCAAACACGTTCTTGGAGCCTCATAGTGTTTTTATTTTATTTTGCCTTTTGCGTCATTGGACCCTGAAATCCTTTGGCGTGGGCTCAATCATCGAACTGCACAGAACCCAACGAAACAATATCCGGAGAGCATCTGTCCAGATCTCATGCATCCTGCGTCCCGGTTGAATTCAGCTACCGGTGTTTTTGGCGATATTCCGATGAAGCGAGCGAACTCGGGAACAAGACTTGGAAGATAGATTAATGGAAATAGGCGCCATCCCTGACGATGATCATACGGAGCTGCGACAATTGGTTATCGACAACACCTAAGTGGAGAAGCTGCATTCCCTCCCTTCAGATGACCTACTGGGAGTTTTTTTCTTTCTTTTTTCTCTTCTTCTCATTTTGCCCCCCTCTTTACCTTTGTTTGCCGCGTCCTGTTTTCTCGCGTGCGGACGGATAGCAGTGTGAAAATGATGAAAGGGGGGAAGGGGTGCCGTTTGCCCTGATGGGTACTCTTATGTCGCAAGTACTGTACGGCGGACTGAGTAGCATGCCATGGGATCTTGTGATGGCATTTACAGCGGGCCACTGTGATGAGGAGAACTCTTGGGAATGAGGCTGACTGAGGACGGTGATGAATGGGAGGTGGCGTGTTAAAGTTAGGGCCTGCAAGGTAACACAAGGCGAAAGCTTGCCGCCTCTTCGGTTGCCGTATCTCACGGGGAAGCGAACAATCTGACTTCCCCTTCCCAAGACTTTTTATTTTACCTTTTCGATCTTTCACATCCTGCTGACCACAGCTACTAGCACGAGCACCGGTGCGATATCGGCGGTCCTGCAAGGGGACGGAGAAGGGACCGTTTAATGGCTTCGGGAGGTTGTCTGCGACAGATTTAGCTGAGGCGATGCTCGTTCGAAAAAGCCGGTGGGTGGAAAGAGCGATAGGACGACGGTTGCCCATCTCTCCGTTAAACGAATAAGGTTTGAAACGGGTGATCTTCATATTACCGGCATTTAGTTTTGTTGGGGGTTACGAATGTAAGAAGGCGGTGTTGGCTGTACTAGTACTGTAGCACCGGTAGTGAATCCCTTACCGATACTCTTACACACAAATACCGGTGTACGAGCACACGTATTAATAAGTGTACCCCCGTGTGTGCAGGTATGATGCTCCCCACAGCGCTGTACAGTACCATAGGGACGAGAAACAGTGCGAGGCTTCAGATGCTCCATTTCGAGAGGAGCGCGGCGCAGTCTACAGTGACTTACAGCACCAGCGGCTGTCCTCGCTCACAGTCGGTTGGCCGGGTAACCGTCCAGGGGGGGGGGGGCAGGAGATTCTCTAGGTGCATGTCTTCCGACAGTTTGGCAGGGCACTACCGTACGCGATGCGGAGAGAGAATTGAGCTCTGGGGGATAGGGAGGGACTGGTTATGAGATACAGTGAAAGAGCATGGGGGGAGAACAGAACTCTAATTATCGAAACGACTCTGGATTCTCGGAGGTGGAGAATGGCAGGGAGACGGAGAAAAATATAAAAATAGAAAGAATGGAAGATTGGAGCCATGATACAATACGGTACCATGGTATGGTATTATTATTATACATATCGCTGCTGGACTTCCATAAAAAAAAAATACTCCCAAGGGACTGCCAAAGGTCTGCACCAGGACTGCAGCTGCCAGGATTTCATTTTATTCCGTTCATTCTACGTCGGCACCCTTTTCTGTTCATTCAGTGTTGGGCCACCTTCCAGTCCTTCACCGCCATTCTCGACCAATCAGGTTGGTCAAGGCCTCGGTAGAAGGCCGCAACGCCAGCCAGGTAGGCAGGCAACCCAACCCTGAGTCCAGCAGCAGCAACCATACCAGCCGACCTCACCTCCCCGTCGTCCTCCTCTCCCCTTTCGTTCCATCATCAGTAGCAAGCCAACCCTCTCTCCCACACATCATCGCCCTGTCATCCTGCACTCACCTCCCATCCGAGCACCTTGTTCTCGGACACCGAATCTACGCGATAAAGCTAAAGGGAAGCCAATCCTCTCTCCTGCCCAACTCTTGAGAGCGATTACAGCCGCGAGCCCCCTCCTGTCAGCGGTACCGGTATAGTAGCAGCCCCAGCCCCAGCAGAGCCCCTTTTCCCGACGGATACAGGGCACTTCCCCGGAAAGAAACACCAAGAGGTCAAGCAACTGAGGTCCACGGCCCGGGTCTGTTTGTCTAGCCACGGTCCCATTGCTACCCCACCACGTGTGTCTTTCGCTTCCCCCCCCCCCGCCAAGCCCCGTATCTCGACAACTTCCTGTTCCCCGTCCCTTCTCTCCCTCGCCTTTGTACGTCCAGATCCAGGTGAGCCGCTTCCTTCTAGATTGTCAGCAACCCCGTCCCCGCTGCTCAGCGGTTCATTATTTGCATCCTATATTTGCTTCTTCTCTTCTCTCTTCCGCTTTCCCCCATACTATTGTCCGTTCCCTGGAATTTACCTTCTTTTTACACGTATCATTTTGTACGTATTCATCGCCAACTTCAATTCCCCCTTCCCACCTTCTCACGGCGCGCAAGCATCTCGTCTGCCCATGCTATGTCACCTCATTTGTATTCCCCTTTCTTGTTCGTTGGGCGGACCGCTCAGCCCTCGGTGCTGCAATGTTTTCTATTCGCTTGGGGCAAAAAGTTGACCCATCCCCTATCTTCCTCTTCTACCCCTGGCTCTTTCCCGATGCCCCACCCCTCGCGCCTCTCACACCGCCGCAAACACCGTTTATTTTTCCCGGCCTCGCGAATCCTCTGACTCTTTTTATTTAGCCAACCTCACCGCTTCCCATAACCGCGATCCCACCACCCTCGGTTTCGGAAAGTTCACACAAGCCGGTTTGCGAAGCATCACAAGTTCGAATATATCTGTAGGGTCAAAATGGTTGTCGCTACCATCAAGTACGTTTTCGGTCCCTTGCCTGTCTTGTTGGTTTTTATGTTGCATCAATGTTCTCTGGATTGCGCCGCCTCGGGATCGTTGTGGTGGCGGAGAGGCCTCGTGCTGGAATTACCGATGTTGGAGCAACCGGAATTGGGTTGCCGGGGCGATACGTGATCCTACGAGAAGAGAAGGGGGGGGGGGGGAGATGTCGGGAATTATATGCCATATTTTTTCTGCATTATTTTACTGACCTTGTTGCGTTTTGTAGGTGTGTGGTCGTTGGTGACGGAGCTGTCGGGAAGACCTGTCTTCTTATTTCTTACACTACCAACAAGTTCCCGAGCGAATACGTTCCTACCGTGTTTGATAATTATGCTGTGACTGTTATGTGAGTCGTGTTATCAATTGGATATGGTTGGGCCGGGTACTTATATTTTGATCTCACCAGGATTGGGGATGAGCCGTATACTCTTGGGTTGTTTGATACTGCAGGGCAGGAAGATTACGATCGACTTAGGCCTTTGAGTTATCCTCAGACCGACGTGTTCTTGATCTGTTTCAGTGTCAATTCTCCCGCCAGTTTTGAGAACGTCAAAGTCTGTTTATCCCGCCTTTTCCGTTTTTTTAAGAAATAAATAGATAAATTGGGGTCCTGATGATTAATGAATTACTGCGCGTTATAGGAGAAGTGGCTTCCCGAGGTTAGGCACCATTGTCCGGGTGTTCCGTGCTTGATTGTCGGTAGGTATTTTTATTGTTATTGTTATTATTATTACTTCAATGTCTCACGCGTTAATCCTTTTGTTCTGTACATCTAGGAACCCAGGTTGATCTTCGCGACGATCCTGCGGTGATTGAGAAATTGGCCAAACAGCGTCAATCGCCAATCACCTCCAAGCAGGGCGAGCAACTCGCCAAAGACTTATCAGCCATCAAGTATGAACCTCCCGCCCCCGCAATAAAGTATGCCATGTTCTGTTTCTAGTCTTGGATTATTTATCCCATTCCTGGCTATTTGATAGTTGGCGTGATGCTAATATGGTCTATAATAGGTACGTGGAATGTTCGGCTTTGACTCAGAAGGGGCTCAAAAACGTTTTTGACGAGGTATGTGGTCGGCGATACCTTTGGGGGGCCAATGTGGGTTTGTCGGTATATTTTGACATATCATAGGCTATTGTCGCCGCTCTGGAGCCTCCTCAACAACTCAAAAAGAAGAGGTGCTCAATCCTATAAGCGGTACGTGGGATCAGTGCATTTTTTCTTTTTTTCCACTGGGCGAGCTAACTTTTTAGTGTCACAGCTTCAGTCGGGAGTTGCGGAGTAGAATTTCGTCTCTAACTTAAACGGCACGAAAGTCCTTTCCAGTTAAAATATCCCTGTTTCATTGCCAGGCCTTGTAATTTGTCTTGGAGCAATTCTGCCTTTATCTTGTCTTTTCTTCTATCTATAACTTGGCCGCGTCTCTTAACAGAGGTGTGCTGTTGCTTTCTTGTTTAAGATAGATTGAGATAGTGAGAGGATGCAGGACTGCTGTTGTCTTGAACTGGCTTGCAAATATCTTGAAACTTTTCTTTCTCTTTCATCCTCCGGGGGTTCCGCTAGATGTTGGAGTTGTGCAGATCGGACATCTTGGTTCCTCAGAGTTGCTTGTATTTTTGTTATTTTTTTTTTACACGACCGTACGATTAGTTGTTTTTTCTTCTCGCCTTTTACCTCTTCTTTCTGCAAGTTTCTATGATGAGGGTAGTAGTGAGGTATGACATGGCTTCTATTCTATGGTCTCGGGCGGGGGAATCAGAATAGCCATATGACACTCGAGACGTCACTTTATGATGCGAACGCCAATAGTTTCTTTGTTTCCTATTACTACTTTACTTTTGTTTCTCTTGGTAGACAATTGGAGGCGGAAGTGAGGGGGGTGGGGTACCGCAACCCCCCCACTTTTTTTTTTTTTTCATTTCTGAATTTGCTTCTCGGTGTGCAGTTTTTTGTTTTTCTTCTTTTCGTTTACCTTTCTTTGAAAGGCGTTTTGTAGAGCTTGGAGAAATTGCTGCTTCATGTATCCTTCGTACAGTGGATGCGATATTGTACTAGTGGTTGATGTTAACATGGGGTTTTGTGGCTTGTCAGGGGAGAGGTTGGAGGTGTAAGACGAGTGAGGGTGTGTGAATGGGTGGGGACGTGGAAGACTTGTGCTGCTTCTTGGGTTGTAAGTGGTGTAAGGTTGGAGATCAGTATTAGAGGGTGTGGTTGAAGGAGGGGCGTAGGATAGTTGGGGTTTATCAGGTGGGATTTAGTTGTTTTTATTATAATGAAAGGCGGATAGTGTCTCCCTCCCGATTTGCTTTAATTCTAGGCCCTGTTCTGCATTATCCTCTCTATAACACCTCCAAGGTATCATATTTCCTAAAACCTAAAATAATCTACCTATGTAAAGTTTATATTATTGTTTTAAAACGGGTACTTGAGCACTTATTACGAGGGAGGAAATAGGAGGCCTGCGCATTGGGGGAAAGAAAAAACAGCAATATCGTGAAATATAGTTGCATTTGGAATGCTGTGTTTTGCGGGCTTCCTATTTTACTTATACTATAATTTGTTGGCCTCTAATTTTATTCCGGTTCACACAGAATAGGGGAGGTACACTAATTGTCAAACCTTGGTATTATCCTTTACTTTAAAGGTATACTTTTAGGAGGATCAAGAAATGTGCTGTCTTCAGAAGTGTGACAAAAACATGTCTCAAATAGCAAAAACTTTAATGGCTCTTATCTGGCGGCACGGCGACCTATTGCAAACCCTGATGCCGGTGGTGTTACCTAGCGATGACAATTTTCTCACAGCGGTGACTTTTTTTGAAGGGTAAAGTGTGCTATTCTCAATGAAGACAATTGTATTATGTTATATACAGTACACCCAACAACCCACTAGTCACCCTTGTATGAGTACCGTATTGTACTTGCCGTCTTTCAAAAGTATCCGGAAATCCGTCTCGGCTTGGCGGTTATAGTCGTCCCCTTTTTCAAGTTCAACTACCGGTATTATATCTAGGGGAATCGATACCGGTAAAGTAGTGCAAATTCTCGAGGAGCACTGTCGGAGGTTCTGCCATATATATTTTTTGTACTGTACTCGATGTGCGCCTAATGCGGGAAATTAGTGCGGGCAGTCCTTGCTGCCAAGCAATTTGCCGGATTTCCGGGTACTTTTGAAAAAATGGCGAGTGCGGTACTGCGAGCTAAGCTTTATACTTTTAGCGATTTTATCTAGGACTGGTATTTTATCGGCCCTTGTGTTTGGTCAACTATTCTTGATGGCAAATAGCTTGTTGATGGATGCACAGAATTCGTAATTTCTGGGGAAGGGGGGGTGGGATAAGGTATAATTGGAGAATCTTTGTTTCGAGGAACATGTTCTGATGTACCGGTAACACTTGGGCGGCCACTGGCAGTTGTAGGTTGTATATTGAGCCCTATAAACATGAGGTGTAGTAATATACAATACCTCTCTGAGGTCTGCTATATTGTTATTTATTGTGCATACATACAAGCACTAAAATCCCGACACCTTCATTTTATGATAAACTAGCAAACAGATTGCACAACTGAGCTTCCTCTTACTAATCACAACTATCCTGGAAGAGAAGATGCCGACATTTGCGGGATAATGTCATGTCCTCCAGAATGTTATGATAAGGAATTGAATTTGAGGAAATTATTCACAAGAGCAGGCAAGCATGTCATAAGTTTACTGCTATAGCTGAGCTCTCTAGAGCTGGAAAGAAAAAAAGGAAAAAAAAAATTATACCTCTAGCTCTAGAATTGTAGATTTGTAAATTCTGTGCTAGATTACCAAAGGCTCCTTCCCGTTCTCGATGGGAGGAAGTAGCCTGCGGGGGCGGTCTTCTGCCCTTCGTTTCTCTCATGTCGGGGTAGGTAGGTATGGCTCTGGGGAGGGGGGGTAGCTTTTACAACTCTCTCACATCTATACCTGATACCTAGATACCCCAAAGAGCCGTGTCTGGCCTCACTCAATTGGGTCG